CATTACAGACAATCGTGTAAAACTTGTGCACCGTTTATATAAAGGTGTATCCTATCACTATATAAAGTATCATAAATATGGACTTCCTAAATGAAGATTCTACAATATCACAAATTATATCTTCTAGTCGATCATCCATATCTTCCCCGCAACTTCATATCCTTGTGACATCATATTTTTTTATTTACTTCACCATGCCACGTCCATATTGTATAATTTTGAAAAATTTCATCGCATCATATGTGATAAAATATTTCTTTCTTTGATATTTTTTATTTTACCATAAATAATACAAGGAAAATAAAATAGTCCATTATTGTTGGGAAGATTTTGTTATGCGTATTTAAGGAAATTCTAAATTACTCTTTTGCATCCTTTAGAGATTGAAATTCAGACGCACCTAAATAAAACAAATATTTATCAGAAACTCACCCCTATCCAAATAAAAAATATGTTCGAATTACAAAATTCAGACACATCCTTCAGAAATTAAAATCTAGAACATTAAAGTGGGAAAATGAATTTTGCATAACCTTGCATGTGTAGTACTCCTCATGATCATAATTCAAACATTTCTTAAGCCCTTCCAAAAATTCCGTGCATTACTGTTCAAGATTTTTGTTTGCAAACAGAATCCTATCGTGTTTCGACATCAAAAGGTGCACAATCTATTGAAATTTCAGGTAATGTATATGTATATCACTAATCATCATTTAGATAATATAATTTTTCTTGTTGAGTTATGAACACATATTTTGGAGATTGAAATATGGATTCTTCTAGAATTGGTTCAAATATTGAAATCTGGATTCGTTCAATGTTGATTGAAAATATTATTTATTTATTTATTAGTTGTAATTATGGTGTATCCTAAAGTTGTGATCAAACACCTGGGTGTTGTGACCAAACACCATGGTGTTGTGATTAAAGTTAATGCATATAAGGATGGTGAAACAGAATTACCTCAACAAGTTATTGTCTATGTTGATGTTCGAAAATGTTTTACTAATAAATTTGAGTTTACTTTATATGAACATATGCTTGAATAGGTTCGTACGGTGGTTGTCAAGTCAGGGTCTAGAATTGTTATCGAGAGCTCAAATTCTGATTCTAATAAAAGACAATCATTTGTAACAGTGAGATGCGAAAGAAGTGACCAGTATAAAAAAAACTTATCTAAAAGTTGAAACATGATCACACCGAAACAAGAAAATGTGTATGTCCTTTTAAGTTGGACGGGTACCATAAGGCAAATAGAATATGGATATTTAATGTGATTTATGGTGTATGTGATCATGGTTTGTGTCATAAGTTAGTTGGTCACCAAATTCTATGTCTTCTGGATTCTGAATAAAAGAAACTTCTTTCTGACATGATATTGGACATGGTTCAACCCAAAAAGATACTCACAACTTTGAAAAGGAAAAGACTCGAAAATGTCTCAAATATTATACAAGTATAAAATATTTGCAACTGAAACAACAAGACAATAAGAGGTCCAAGATCTAAAATGCAACAATTATTGAAATTATTGGATGATGATCATTATGTATCTAGGTACAATGTGTGTGAGGATGAAGAAACTGTTAGAGATATATTTTATACTTATCTGGATGTTATCAAGTTATTTAACACATTTTTCACTATGCTGATAATTGATTCAACACATAAGACTAATAAGTACATGTTTTCTATTTTGGAAATTTTTGGTGTTACTTCTAAATAGATGACTTATTCAGTTGCCTTTCCATTTTTGGAATGTAAAAAGTAGGATAATGTTACATGGACTTTAGAAGTATGTCAGAATATGTTGAAAGACCGAGAAAATAAGTCATATGTGATTGTCAATGATTGTGATACTGCACTAATGAATTCAATTAAATAGGTGTAAGTATCATATAACAAAGAATGTGAGAGGTAGACTTAAGTATGTGGTAGAGACCAAACAAATTAAAGGTGAAGACGAAAAATGGTCAAACATATTCAGATACTAGAAAGAAAATAGATGCTTGGAATGGTATAATCAATTCTTTTATAGAGGAGTTATATTTCAATTTTTCATACAGTTCAAAAGGGTGATATCAAAGTATCTAGATTTCTTGAAATATATTGAAATTACAATATTAGACTAGATGAAAGAGAAATTTTTTTGCACATGGACCTATCAGGTTAGACATTTTGGAAATACCACAAATAATAGAGTTGAGTCTGCTCATGCTACATTGAAGAACTAGTTGAGAAATAGTATGGATGATTTATGTATAAGTTGGGAATCAATGAAATAAATGATTAAAAATCAACATAATGAGATACATACATCATTTGGTTGCAACATCACAATATTAGAACATAAATTCAAAGACATAAATTTGTATGTAGAGTTGGTCGGAAATATATCTCAAACGAGATTGAATTTTATTTATTACGAAGTTATGCGAGCAGAGAAAATAAGTCTAGATAGCTCTAAGTGAGGTTCTACACTTAGAAGAACATGTTGACTCACTTTATTCGGATTCTCTAATTTCACAATCCAATAAAAGTTTCATTAAAGGTTCTCGTATTAGCAAACTATTTCCTTCACCACCTTTACCATAAATGATACATATTGAAGAAATGCCTATTTTTATGCACAAATATATTGATTGAATTGTAGATGTTAAAGGTGATGGTAAATGTGGTTATCACTTTGTTTCAGCTTTGTTAGGTAATGGTTAGGAGAATCATACACTTGTCAACAAACATCTTATCAAAGAGTTGAAGGTCCATAAGGAATCATACACGAGACTATATGAGAAAAAGAACAATATGACACTTTTCACGATTCTTTTATTCCTTGTGTTAACAGTGCAACACCGAAGTGAATGTGTTTCTTTGAAATGGACTATCTTATAGTAAGTACATATAATAGAGTGTGCATCAATATGATAAGATATGGTTTCTTGAAAATATGTTTTCCACTTCAAAGTGACACACCTCAAAATACAATCAGACACATGTTGTGTATTGGGCGGCTTTAAAAATTACAACATTTTAGTTAAGTTTATTTGAAATTAGAACATCTTTTGAATGGACATCTCATTCTACAAATGAAGTTGAAACTTGGCGAGATAATCTTTTAGATATGATGCAAAAATTTACCAAATTGAGAGTATTGAAAGAGAATCAAACCAAAAAGTCAAAGGATGAACTACACGTAGATTTAGGTGGTGACACATTCTTTATGTATTTTAATTTTTATCATAAAATACTTCATGAATGTAATGTTAGTTTTATTTTATATTTTCATGGATTTAATTAATATAAATTTTAATGTATATCTAATATTACTTGTATAAACATTGAAATCAAGGTTTTGATATGTTTGTGTGTCATAAAACAGTTGGTTCGGGGGGATTAGTGTGAATCCTAATTTCAATCTCCAGATACATCCCTAAGACATGCATGTTTGTCTATGCTTTGTATAGGATGATGGTAATCTAAATTTCAATATCTGAATACACTTGGGACATGTCTTGTTGTGTGTGCTTCGTACATGATAAAAGGCAGTGAATCTGAATATCAATACCCAGACTCACTCTTGACACATGATTACATTTGTATGATCCATAATGATCTACAACTTATATAAATATGCCTCATATGTTTTTAACGCAAACACTTCAATATGAGTCAATATTGATATATTGCATTTGCTTACTTCAACTACTTAAGATCTCATTTTTAATTTAGGATAATATAGAACACCTCTCTTGTAGGTCTGAAATCTAAACTGGAGGGTCTCTTATCCTACACCAACAATCAAAGAGTAATTAAGATCGAGTATGGTTCACCCACAGTTGATAATGAAAGGAAGATTAAGTTCAATAAATTTGAGCTGAAGACGTGCAAATATAAGTGTTATATGAAGTATATTTCATCGTTACACAATCAAAGCTTTGCTTGGGAGTTTGAAGGAGAAAGGAGAAAACTTTGAAGAAAAAAAAGAAGGATTGAGTGAAGAAAATAGAAAGATTTAGGTGGTGAAAGTTTTGAGAAATATTATTATTGGTGGTGTATTATATGTATAACAAAATGGTGAATTCAAATTTCAATATGAAAAAATCTTAAACTATATTGGGTGTGTATTACGTGATACCATGAGTGTATGAAAAGACCTTAAATGTATTACTAGATACCATATGGGTGTATCTAGATTTCAATTTTGAACATATTCTTTAGTGACGATTTTTGATATTAGATTTGTAGTGTTGGAATGCGTCCGAATTTAAAATCCAACCGGTGGGAAAGAAGTATTTTTGAATTTTTACCAAGATGTGTGAGTAATGACACGGAGTGCAGTGAACAATTCCTATTCTAATGACAGAGTATATATAAAATATAAATAGTGAAGTAAGAAACTTTTTTATAATCCACCATGTGTGCTCGCGTGAACAAATTAGATAAGTCGTTATTTTATGCATAGCATGACTGATTTTGGTTAAAACATGATTTAAAGGTAAACTCTATACCTCGTCGTGACAGTGAGGCCAACACAACAATTTGGTTTCTCCTATTGAAGTATTGTGAGGTAAATCAATTATGCTTTCTAACATATGTTAGATTATTGCCTTACATTTTTTAGTTATTTTGAATAATTGGAGATCGTTTTTGTGCAGATTTTTCAATCTCACGCACTAGGTTTTTAAAGTAAACATTGTGACAGAACCAAACATGTTATGACATAGAATAGTTCAAAATTCATTACAATATAGAAAATATTTGACAACTACTACAAGACATTGACATTAACAAGTTTAACTATAACTAAAATTGCACTATCATAGTTTAATATCTCCCCAACATCTGCATTTCTCCACAGTTACACCGAACTCCAAAGTGGAAGTTTGTTGCAGTCACTTGAAACTATCCACTAGAAAGAAAGAAACTGAATCTAGAATTCACATTGTCCTCTCTTGTTAGCCTGCTGAAGCAGTTATCTGTGTAAAGCCTCATTCCTATAGTCACAAGTATTGCTCTTGTATCCTCGCACGGTTCTCTTCCCACCATAACCTAGCACGCGTTTCTCCAAACTTCTCTCGGCTGCATAAAAGGATACACAAACAAAATTTTATTTGATTAGATGTTTTTTATCGAAAAGGTATTTATTTTCCATGCCAATGATTTTGGCATACCTGAAGCGGACGCGCCTGAGTTCTCTGGTTCCACCTGGTAGTGCTCTGATAGTGATGTATACTCCTGGTTCATCCTGTTCAACCCATTCAGTTTCCATATCACTGGCATTGCTGATTGAGAGCTCACCTGAGTGATTGTCTTCCTCTTCTGACGAACTAGTCCTTGCAGAAGCATCAATGGATGATCTTTCGGTCTTAGGAACACCAACATCTGAAGGATTAGGTTTTGATACCAGACCGCTTGTTTCATAGCAAGGCTGCGGTTGCATATGGTGGTGTTCCAGTGAATCTGATGAGGAGTAGCCCATTCCTGTTGGGTGATGTAAATGACGGGGCAGACGCTCTTTGCTTAGAGGAGGTGTAACTGGGCTATCCCTTGAAGATTCAATCTTTGAGCTCTGAAAAAAGAAAATGAATGTTACATAAACACCAGCCTAATATTCTAAATAAATTGCTCATGTAATTGATTTATTTGAACTTATCTATTTGCATAAGCATTTGGAAACTTATGGAAACAACTTATGAGATGTAGATGAGCTACTTTCAGTTATTTCCATAAGCTCTCCAGGATAGCTTATGGCTTATAGCTTATATGAAACAAAATTAACTTTATGATATCTTTTGTTATAAAAGCAGATTATACATAAGCAATTATATGACAAGAGTTTGTGCTATAAGTACTTAATTAAGTTGTTTATCCAAACAGGTCTTAAGTAGGAATCTGATCCTTCACATCCTATGTATTCAAGAGGTAGGTTTCCATGTCAAATATCTCAAGTTCGGGCCTCAAGTATGAGAATATGGAACTTGAGACAAGTTACTCAAGACAACATGAATTCTGCACACATTGATATTTGGAATAGAAGTTCAATCATGGAGTTCTTTGACATCAAATTATTACAAAAAGTGTATTCTCACCTCATCTTCAGATATAGGTGGGGTTGGAAGAGGAACTGCTTGTTGATTGAACCTTTGAACATTGTACAACTCCATAACTTTGTCATAGTTTTCCGCCCACCACCTCTGAGCTTGCCATTTATTAAACATTTCACGGCTGATCAGAAAATATAAAACAATTAGTGTAATCATCTACAACATTAAATCAAGGAAATTAACATAACACTTGAGTTTATATCCCTTAGTTAAAAACTTTGGATATATATTGACAGAAAGAAGTATAAAAAGGAAACTCTACTTGCAACGGACCAGATGACTGATACTCGAGACAGGGAGTAAAAAGAAGAAACAATTCAAAATATTCATAAACAGACACCTCCCCCTATTCGGAGAAGCTGTTTATGGTTCTGTCATTATATAGCAATTATTTACCAAACATCGAACACAAGGAAGTTATGCACAGATTTATACACCAGGCAGTATCTGCTCCAGGGTCCACGTAGATTTGTGTTGTTTCCACGACTTCCATATTATTCTAATTTGAGTTTCCACAGTCCTTAATTGTTTCAAAATCAGCTTGAGTGTCTTCAAATTAATTCCGAGACTAGCTTAATACAAGTATAAACTTTCATGAAAGATGTGCTAAGTAATAAAAAAAGCCCAAAGGTTATCCCAACAAAAAAAAAAGTTGTTTGCTATTAATTGAATTTATAAAATTAATCAATATCCTTACTGTATATGATTCTTGTTTTTTAGTTTCCTTTCCTATTCAAATTTGGTTGCAATTTCATAAAATAAATATTACTCAGGCACATAACCAAGCTAGGCATTTTGCTTTGCATAGCTTCCTTTCCTTTTTATTCCCTTTTTTCCAATCTTCTTTTTCTTTTGGCCTTTTCCTTTTTCTTTTATGAGCTAAGAGGAGGGAGGGTATTTGAATGATCAAGCTAGGATAAAAATCCTTTTTGCTTTTGTCACACTCTACTTCCACAAGTGAAGCATGTGTTACTGACAATGAAACAAAGCAGCGGTTCTCCAAAGAGACACAATACAAACAAGATAGATCCGGCCAATTAAGAATCTGTACAGCCTTTCAAAAAGCATGTGATCTATATAGCACTAACACAAACACGACACTCTGAATAAAACTAGTAATAATTTGAAAAAATGAAAATGATTGAATGTAAATACGTGGGTCGGTGTCGGTCACTAAACACGCCTTCGGTCTGAAGTGTCAGTGCTACATAGCATGTGATTACTACCAAATAAATATAATTAAGTGCGAGATCAAAGAAGAACAAGAGAAAATTTAAAACCACAAAGGACAAAGCCACAATAATTATAAAGCTAGCTACTCTCTATCATATATAACAAAGCATGTGATTTACAACAACTCCAAACAAATCAAAAACGTTGTACAATTCCCAAGATACAAAAAAAGAGGAGAAGGGATGTACCTGAACCGTATCTTCTTCAGATCATTCCCACCTTGGGGCAATGAAAGAAAAGTAATAAGCACACCAGGTTCAACTTGTGCAACCCATTCCTTAGGTTCATCCTCTTCTTCCATGAACGCAACGGACTCGGTACGACCGCTAACCGATGTTGGTGTTGCTTCGCCACTGGAAATCCCTTTGAGTCTAGCTTCCATTTCCTTCCCCCACATTCTTGGTGTTGAATTCGCGCTCCCGGGTCTTCGGTATGCCCAGTTGAACCTTGCTGAATCTGACCCCATATCAGAATCAGCATACTTTTTGTTCTTGTTGCCATTGGAAGATCCTGAACAAGGCTTGCAATTCTTATAAGACCCAGAAACCTTAACTGCCATGTCCTTGATCTGAGAAAAAAATAAAAAATCCTTGTCACCAAAATCACCTCTTGAGAAGAAGAAAACAAAAACAGAATATCAAAAAAGACAAAAATTGATTCTTTTAATTACATAAAGGATCATTAAAATTCAACAATACACGAAAGGAACAGAATCACATGTACTTCTGCATAACTAACAAATTCCATTTCAACAATAATAATGGAATTTTGATTCTCTTACATAGCATCCAAATATAAAAATTCAGCATAATTTTAATACACTTTGTCATAAACAAAAACAGGTGTATGAATATTATGAATTCTGCCCTTTACCTGAGCTGTGAGAGCCTTGATGGCTTGTTTGGTGCTAGGTGTTTGCACAGCTTCTTCCTCATCTTGTTGATGAAGAGATCTATTATTGAGTTGCTTTGAACAAGCTATGCAAGTCAACATTTTCGATTCAAATCACTAGATTTTCCACTCCCACTTCTAAATATCAAAAAAGATAACCAAGTTACAATTCCAAAAAAACCAAAGATATTGCACCAATGAATCAAACTTCGTTGCAATCAAACAAATAGAAGATCTGGGGTCAATTAAAAGACAAAAACTCCAATGAATCAATGTGTTGCTTATAAACCAAAACAATGATCCTATGAAGAATGATGACCAAAATCAACACACCCACAAAAAAATGAAAGATCTAGGATATCAAAATGCACAAAAAATGATTTTTTATATAAACTATATAGTTGGAGTTGGAGTGAATTGGACTCTTTCTCTGTGTGTAAGTCAGAGGAAAGACTAAACATAAACTGAGTGAGACATAAGAACAAACACAAGGAATGCAAGGAAGTAAGAAAGAAAAAAAAAAGTACCCTTTGGTTTCTTTTGAGTGTCACTCCTGAAGGGTCATTGAGATTTGGGCTATTTAGGTGGGTGGGTGTATCTATCTATGTATGTATATATGTATATAGGTTCAGAACGTGTGAGATTGGCGTGGTGGGTTGGTCCCCTATGTGTCTATTCTATGTGTGATTTGTTGTGATAGTGTTGTTGTTGTACTTAAATGTATAGATATAGATGTATATATATAGTGAGAGAGAGAGAGATTGTGCATGCGCCACCCTATTCTCTCTCTCATGGATCTCTCAGGTAAATTAGAGAGAGAAAGGAAAGAAAGGTGAAAAATGGAAATGTAGTGGCGTGGTGTTATGTGCTTTGTTTGGCACAACACAAAAGGGAAAATTTTCTGCTGATATAGCAGAGCCTTGATTCAGTTCATTTTGATATGTTTTGAAAATCGGATTGGATTGAATTGAAAACCGGTTGGTTTGGGGGAATTGAGAACCGATTTGTTGGTCGGGTGGTTCGTCGGTTAAATTGAAAATTAATTAATTTGTCAGTTTATCAAATTTTAGATGTATTATGATTTAATCGGTTGAACCAAAATTTGGAATTGAATCCAACGAGTCGATCTTGTAAAATTGCTTGTGCACCAAACAATATATAAATGAAAAAAATCAGATTGATTTAGATTGGTCGATTCAATGGATTAAATTGAGAACTAGTTGGTTTGTTAGAGGAATTGAGAACTATTTTGTTGGTCGGGTGTTTCATCAATTAAATTAAAAATCGATTAATTCTTTGGTTTGTCGAATTTTAGATGTATTACGATTTAATCGGTTGAATCAAAACTCATAATTGAATCCAATCCGTCAGTCTTGTAAAATTGCTTGTGGACCAAGCGATATAAATGAAAAAATCATATTGATTTGAATTGGTCGGTTCAATGGATTGAATTGAGAACTGACAAGTTTATTGGAGAAATTGAGAACCATTTTGTTGTTCGGACGATTCGTCAATTAAATTGAAAATCGGTTAATTCGTCGGTTTGATAGATTTTAGATTTATTATAATTTAATCGGTTGAATCAAAAATTGAAATTGAATCCAACTCATCATTTTGTAAAATCACATGTGGACCAAACTTATATAAATAAAAAAAATCGGATTCAATAGTCTTAAACTCTTTTAACCAATGAACCATAATGGATTTTGAGAAATCTACCTAATTCAAAAAAAATGCACGAAGATTGTCAATTTCTATTTTTATAAATTTAATTTTGTAAAAAAAAAAAAAAATTTCAATATCAGCAATTTTTTTAATTCTTTTGTAAATGTTAGTGATTTGGACTGAGCCTGCACTTGCCTCACGGTTGGGAGGCCCAATCCAGCATCCTTGTATAAGACCCACAAGCAAGCAGCCTAAGCTAGGAACCGTTGGGCAACTCCCCACACATTCATTGGGGAACATGGTCCATATGCCCACATCACCATCATCTTAACTGCCCTCCGAAAATCACGGGTTCAACCCCTATTCTCACGGAGCAGTTGACCAGGAGGAGTCCACTTGCTGGACTCCATACACACGTAAGCCATGGCAGTCTTTATTATTATGCCTCAACGTGACCCAACAATGGGGACCTTGGCCCAGCGCTAGGGGCTATAAATATCCTTTCATTCGAGAGGGCCAGGGATTCATTCTTTCTCATACTCACACTTGCTTGCACTCTCTGAAACTTACTTTGGCATCAGAGTGTCTTGCAGATACCCCCATCTCGCTTTCAACCTCAGTTCGACGTAAGGCTTTGACGATCCATTCTGGTCAGGTACGATCGGTGGCGTCGTCTGTTGGAAACTAGCTTCCCTGTCTTCATTTAACTAAGACAAAAGCAACTTTGAATTCTCGATCGCCATGGCCGACCCAACTGCCAACAACATCGCGGACACCCATCTCACCGACCCCAACAACCATGTCGTCGAACACATGGGCAACAACAACCACAACAACAACAACAGGAACGACGACGACATGGACGATCTCATGCAGAATTACAGAGACAACATGGCTGTCGCTTCCTCATCGCGCACTCGACCGCGGGAGGGCGCCCATCCACCCCAGAATTACGAGTTGAACGCTTTCCAGGAAGTCCTCGTCCTCCCGGGCACTGATGCCACGACCCGAGCCCTATTCGCAGCAATTAACCAGACGAATTACCTAATCTTTGCGCAAGGGGAGCGACTAAGGGTGCTCGAAGACTCTCGTCAAGCCCCCAGAAGACATAGAAGGTCTGACACACTCCTCCTTGTCAGGATGAAGACTGTCTTCAATCTCCCATGCGGAGACACACACGGGACAGGTCGCGAAGCCCCCCTCCTCCTCGTCAGGATGAAGATCATCTTCAATCTCTCCCACGGAGACACAGACGGGACAGGTCACGGAGCTTCTCTCCCCGACGAACTGGTAGAAGCCCCGAGTTGGGGAGAACCATGCCCGAGGCTACCGGGAGGCGCGGCCTCACCCCCCCTGCGCGCAGGGAACAACGAGCCCCTGGAAACAGAAATAGGGGCCACGAAGAAACACATCCTCGACCAAGGATTCATCCACGAGGCCAAGGACACCACCACGACCGTCGATACAATCGGTCTCCTTCCCACTCTCCCTACAGGAGCGATGAAGACGACTCCCGCGGTCCTTTATCACAAGCAATCATGGAGGCACCCATTCCTAAGAGTAAGGAGAAGCCCCCAACTGAAAGAGTATGATGGGATTATCGACCCGATCGACCACATCGACGGGTTCGAAGCAATGCTACACTACCATAATGTCGGAGGACCAATTAAGTGTCGGTTGTTCCCCACGACCTTAAGAAAAACTGTGATGGACTGGTATAAAAACCTCCCCCCAGGGTCGATCACCTCCTGGAGGAACTTGAAGAACCAGTTCATCAGCTCTTTTATTGTGTCTCGTCGACACCCGAAGATCAGAGCCGCCCTCGAGGCTATCGTCCAAAGAAGCGACGAGACCCTCAGAGAGTTCATAGATCGGTTGAATCGCGAGGCCATCCAGGTCCCATGTACCGATCACATGAAACAGTATCTGCTCGAGAGGGGACTCCTCCCGGGCACAGAATTTAGGAAGGTCGTTGGCATCGAACCACTCTGGACATTCAATGCTCTCCTCGAGAAGGCTAGAGCCTACATGGACTACGAGGAAAGGGAAGCGGCCAACAAAGCTCGTGACCCAAGGAACCGCGGGCCAACCAATCCTCCACGACACCAGGACGCATCCCCTCCTCGACGAACGAGCAAGAAGATGAGGGATGACAAACCAAGGGACCCCCGCGAGCATATGGGGCCCGCAGGCCGATTCACCGAATACACTCTGCTAACAGCTTCCCACAAGTGCATCTTGGAGGAGTGTGCTAATATAGTCTTCAAGGAAGGTGGCGTCAAACGTCCTCGCTCTACTCCTGCAAAGCCCGGGGCTGACAGAAGAAAATATTGTCAGTGCCACCGGAGCCACGAGCATCTGATTGAAGACTGCGTCCATCTCAAAGACGCCATTGAAACCCTCATCAAGGGTGGCAGACTCAGGCAATATTGCCGCAACGATGCCCCTCACTGGAAGCCTCACGAAATAAGAGAGGTCGAGGAAGACACCCGACCATCGGATGAAGCGGCCCTCATCCAAATATCCTTCTCCGTTACAAGGCCGGAGGACTTCTATGTCCTTGACAGACACGGAGAAGAACCTCTATCCATGCACAGTAGGTGGGAAAGATTCCCCTCCGTCATGGTTATAAATGGCGGGGGGTTCAACGACATATGTATAAACTCTGCAAAGAGGGGGCTGGACGAGCTGGTCGACGCAGCCCCGTCGTAAGCGATAACATTTGAGAGGGTCAAGGGCGAATCGAAGCCGATCACATTCTACCTCGAAGAGTTGCCTGGAGAGGCCCCTAATGCAAGCATCCCTCTTCTGGTTAGGGCAAGGATGACTAATTTTGATGTTCACCGCGTCTTGGTCGACGAAGGGAGTTTTGTCGACATTATGTATAGCCATCTCTTCAGAACCCTACAGCTCGACGACACCCACCTTTCACCATACGTGGGGTCCGACCTACAGGGCTTCAATGGCCCGACCTCCAAACTGTGGGGGTACGTGGAGCTCTTAGTCACCTTCGGCAAGGAAACCACCACCAGGCAGGTCAAGGTGCAATTTTGGGTCATCGATTGCCCGTATCTCTATAACTGCATCATAGAGAGACCAATGTTGGCCGAACTGACCACTGTCCCCTCCACCGTCCATCTAAAGATGAAATTCTACACGAAAAGGGGACGCCCCCGACATCATGGCCACTATTCGGGGAGATTGTCCCCGACATCATAAACTCGTGAACTTAAATGAACATTCATGAGTGTATATCGCAGGACTCATGAACTTCAATGAACATTCATGAGTATTCATCACAGAACTCGTGAATATTCATTCGGTCAAGGCAAATATTAGGTGTTTAATCTAGAAACGCTAAGAAAATACGTTGTTAAGGAGATATAACTTACTTGGATGAAGGATTCTTGAAAGAAATTTGGAAAAGTTGAGAGGAA